CACACACACACACTCTCACACACACACACACAGACACACACACACCCTGCCCGAGCCTGTCCGACTAGATTCCTGCTCCATAACTGAGAACTAAATGATTTAAGCCTCATAATGCACTCAGAATCTCTACACTATTTTCACATTCCTGGTCCTTTTTTGTTAAAACTGAATATTTTTCACTTTTCACTTTCATTCACTTTCATTAAAGAGTGAATGAAAAAAAGCAGCTTTGACTGCATTTACCCCTTTTCTATTAACTAAAAAATTGAGAAATTCTTTGAAATTGAACCAGACCCAAAAAAAGAAATTATGTAAAATACATAGATATTTTTTTCAATACTGATGAGAAATTTGATTTGGATATATCACTGTATGAAATTTATAAGAACATATAACGTGAGAATTATCAGTATTAACCTCATTCGAGTGTATGAAACCCACATATTTATTTCTAACAAAACAACATCAAAACGATATGAATATTACTCGAAGTTTTCAAACTAAATAAATGGACTTTATTTGCATAAACTCTCCCTTTCACGGTCAGTTTTCCACAATAGATGCACATATTCATGTTAATCAACAAAATTCAGTCCAAAAGCGTGTGATATGAGGAAGAGACGAAAAGCAAGTTTAGACACTAATATAACTTCGTAGATAATTGTTCAAAAAGTATTTTTGACAGCTAATGGTTCTCCATACAGACCCAAGTAAAAAACACGAACACGAAACACGCTATATCTCTTAAGAAATAACTGTAAAAAATCTGAAAGAAATAAACTAAGTGTATTTTAAGGGTCTTAAAGCTTACTAAAGTTACTAAAAACCATGCATTGTTTAGGAATTGTTATGCATGTCACAGACCTGAATGCTTTATGAGGGTTAAAGACCATGAAGACAATTAATAATCAGGAATGTGCCACCCGATTAATTATTTTCTCTTCAAAGCCTCCCTGATAACAACATTATTGATTAACTACTCGTCCTCCACGCAAACCTGGACATAAATCTTCATTGCTGAACAAACCCTTACACGATTAGCTCACGGGAAAGCCATTAAGACCTGAGAAACCAGCATTAACAGCACAATTAAAACTGATTAAAACCTGTTCTCACTCAGATCCTAAAAGTCTCGCAATTTTTACTGTGTTTTACAAAGCAATCATCTCCAGTATTAACAGATAAGAGCCAGAATATGGAACATGTGAAGCTCGTTTTCAGAATAAAAAACAGATTATAGACCTTATGAAAGAAATTATTATAATAGTTTGGGGTCTGTAGGATATTTTTTATGAAGAAATTAATACTTTTATTAATCAAGGATGCATTAAATTGATCAAAAGTGACAGCAAAGACATTTATAATGTCACAAAAGATTTCTATTTCAAACAAATGCTGTTTTTTTTTACTTTTTCAACCATGCATCACCAGTAAATACTGTTGTATTGATTTGAGGCATTTTACCGTGGTGTTTTACTGCGTTTACAGCAGCATGGCTCTGATTACATAAGACACACACGTCCATTAGTGTTTCAGCGGCTTGAGAGTTACCCTCAACACGTGCGCATTTGCTTATATTTCAAGTCAAACAGGATCTGATCCGATATAATCTTCAGATCTGTAGCATAAAATATCAATATAGATAGAAGGCAGCCAAATTATTAGCATACCAAAATATTTGTTTGTTCATAAATTTGTGCCATGTCAGCTACAACAGCGATATTTGTGGAGAAACATGAGAAAAAATAGAAAAAAAATAAATAAAATAACATGAATAAAAAATTTCTGAAAGTTCAACAGGAGTTAAAACAGCTGAATTCATAACGAGAAACATGTGAAAAATATAAAAAAAAATAAAAAATAAGATTCATTAATAAAATAAATAAATAAATAAAAATTTGTTTATTTTTGAAAGTACAAGAGGAGTTAAAACGGCTGAATTCATATCGAGAAACGTGAAAAATAGAAAAATAATAAAAAATATGATTAAATAAATAAATAGTTTATTTTTGAAAGTCCAGCAGAAGTTAAAACGGCTGAATTCATAACGAGAAACGTGAAAAATAGAAAAAATAATAAAAAAATATGATTAAATAAATAAATAGTTTATTTTTGAAAGTCCAGCAGAAGTTAAAACGGCTGAATTCATAACGAGAAACGTGAAAAATAGAAAAAATAATAAAAAAATATGATTAAATAAATAAATAGTTTATTTTTGAAAGTCCAGCAGAAGTTAAAACGGCTGAATTCATAACGAGAAACGTGAAAAATAGAAAAAATAATAAAAAAATATGATTAAATAAATAAATAGTTTATTTTTGAAAGTCCAGCAGAAGATAAAACGGCTGAATTAATAACGAGAAACATGTGAAAAATAGAAAAAATAATAATTTAAAAAATCAGTAAGATTAAATAAATAAACACATAAAAAGTTTATTTTTGAGAATCCAACAGGAGTCAAATCAGCTGTAGTTGTGATGAGAAATTTGAAAAATAGAAAAATAAATAAAAAATGTTTTTTAATAAAAGTTCATTTTAGACAAAAAAAATTAATTGTTCTCACTTCATTAAAAATCTTTTCATAAGAATCAACCAAAAAGCACAGAGCCCAACAGGAAACCATCAGAGTCCATTAAAATATGCTTGAGAGATAACACAGATTATTGGAGAGATAATAGATATTTGTTTACGTGTGCAGTCAGGATCTGTATCTGATCTGAAATAAACTATTAGGAAAGATGGCTTCACAGCACACGCCCTCAGCCTACAGATGAGCACTGGGGGCGGGGTTACGCTGCTGCCACGGCGACCGAAGCAGTATGCAAATCTGCTGGTATCTACAGGCAACCGGAGCAGATGGCCCCGCCCACCGGAGCAGACATGTGTCCTCTGAGCTTTCATCTGATATCACCGGCATGAGCCAGTCATAATGTGTTTAACCAACAAACAGCCATACACACACACCGTTCAAAAGTTTGGGGTCGGAAGTCTCTTCTGCTCAGCAAGGCTGCATTTACTTGATCAAAAATGCAGTAAAAATTGTGAAATATTTTTATTATTTAAAACAGCTGTTTTCTATGTGATTATATGTTACACTGTAATGTATTTCTGTGATGCGCAGCTGTATTTTCAGCATCATTACGCCAGTCTTCAGTGTCACATGATCTTCAGAAATCATTCTAATATGCTGATTTGCTGCTCAAGAAACATTTATTATTATTATCAATGTTGAAAACATTAATAATGATGCGGAAACCGTGATTCATTTGATTTTTCAGGATTCACAGATGAATAGAAATGTATTTGAAATAGAGGTCCTCGATGACTAAAACCCCAAACTTTTGTGCGTTTCTGAACTCTTGAAACGATTAGAGTTGACCCGGTTTATTTTGGCTCCTTGTGCTTGCCGTACCTGAGTGCTGGTCTCAGTGATGGTGATGAGCAGCTTCTCCACGGCGCTCTGCAGTCGCGTGCTGATGCTCATCAGAAACTCCTCCCTCTCCAGCAGAAGCTCCGCCTCCTGCAGCTGTAGCTCCGCCCCCTTGATGCTCAGCGACACCTCCAGGCCTTCGTCCGTCTCAGTCTCTGCTGAAAACATGCAGAGGTCATCGGCGACCGTCTCGCTGCCGTGGAAACCCTCTGCGTGCGGGACAGAAGAGATTCTGATGAGCGACATCAAAACAACTCAACAATTATGAAAGAAAGGCCTTTAAATGCGTTTCCTTTATAACAACCGTATAAAGCTTTAACACAGTCAGACATGTGATGTTTTTGAAAATAACAGATTTTGTAGGACAGAGATGTAACGGATTAATACTTAATGAACTCCAGATTAATGTATGAGATCACAAAGGCATAAACGAGACATGAATGAGTCACTCAGATGATCTCACACAATAAGGACGTAGTTTCGTTCAGGGTCTTTTGTGTGTTTTGGGTGTTGAGTTACAGGAGTGTCTGTCTCATATTCAGCCTGAGCTCGATCATGTCCAGGGCATGATAATGTATATTTCATATCAGGTGTATTATAGCTATTATGGTTATTACATTATACTAAAACTAAAGCAGAAACTGAAACCATAACAACAAAAAATGTTACTTGAAATATACAAAAGCTACTAAAAATGACAGAGACACACAACACAACTACTAAAACTTTAACTAAAATTAAAATAAATAATAATAAATATTATTTATAAATAATAAATATTAATATATGAAATAAAAACCGATTCAAAATATTAATAAAAACTATAAAAGTATCTTAATGATACTAAAAAAAACACAATTTCTTTTTGACATTTGTGTTATTGACAAAAAAATCAATATTGAAATGTAAAAAATATCAAATTCCTTAAACATAAAAATTAGAATGAAAATAAAAAAATAAAAACTAATTCAAAATATTATTAAAAACTATAAAAGTATCTTAATGATACTAAAAGGACACTAAAACACACAACACAATTACTAAAACTTTAACTAAAATTAACAATAATAATAATTATTATTTATAAATAATAAATAGTAAAATATGAAATAAAAAACGATTCAAAATATCAATAAAAACTATAAAAGTATCTTAATTAAACTATAACACAATTACTAAAACTTTAACTAAATTTAAAATAAATAATAATAAATACTATTTATAAATAATAAATAATAATATAAAACATTCAAAATATTAGTGCAAACTTTAATAGTATCTCAATGACACTAAAATAACAGTGACGACACAACACAATTACTAAAACTTTAACTAAAATTTAAAATGATAATATATAAATAATAAAATATGAAATAAAAACTGATTCAAAATTGTACAGTGCTACGCAGATATAAGTGCATACCCCAAAATAAACGACAGGCCTATAGCAAAAACAACACACACTTTATACCACAGTAACGATGCATACGGTCACAACGCACAGCACTCATTCAAAATATTGCTAAAACTATCATAATAATATCTCAGTGACAGTAAAATAATACGGTTTGGCATCAGTGAACACACCCATACGCAGGTCACATGACCTCACCTCCACAGTACACAAAACATCTCTATGCAAAGACAATGAGTCAACAGAAAAGGACAAACAAGACAGACAGGATCTGATGTGGCTTCGCACACATCAATTACATAGTTATTAACTCCTCACAGACGAGCTTTGGTGTGACTAATGCCAGACGTTTCTAAATCTTCTATCAAACACGATTATAGCTGAACACAAGCACTTCTGATCACTGACATTAAAGGTGACATATCATGAAAATCTGACTTTTCCAGGTGTTAAGTGCTATAATCAGGTCCCCGGTGCATCTACCAACCAAGGAAGCGTGAAAAAGATTAACCCAGTAACTTTGTTTTGGGAAGCCTTTTTCTGCAAGCGTCTGAGAAAACGAGCGTCTGATTTCTCTCCCTTGGTGACGTGGCAAAGGGATCTCATTATAATATTACCGCCCCTTAATATGCAAGTTTACACCCACGGCGCCGTTATTGTGTTTTCGCAAGCGACAACGGTGTACCAGCTCTAATGCCATGGCGAAAGTTTGAGCAAAGCACGCTAACTGTTCTGTGTTTGGCTGCACAGACGAGCACAGAACACTGTTTAGAGTCCCAGCCTCAGAGGAGACAACAGAGCAGTGCATTTATTGATTTATTTACTGTATATTGCTGCTGCCACACAGATCTAATATAAACATGTGATTTATTTCCCAGCTGTTTACCTTCACAGACATAACCCACTGTTTTTGTAACTCATGTGTGTTTTTAACGTAAGCTTGTGTGTGAAAGAGAACTTAGTTTAGTACTCACATGCTGTGACAGCCGCTTTTCTGTGCGTGTGCACTCATAATACCGTATATGTGAAGTTTAAACTCATATGGTTTAAACCGCATGATTTCAGCACGATAAACATGATAATCAGAACCACAACAGATGTTTTTAGCAGGTACGAGCTGTAATGGCGCAGCTCTATTCTGGAAAAGGGGGCGGGGAGCAGCAGCTCATTTGCATTTAAAGAGACAGGCATGAAAAACAGCGTGTTTCTGCTTCCACTCAAAATAGGCATTTTCAAAATTATATAATAAATGATCTTTGGGGTATTTTGAGCTGAAACTTCACAGATACATTAACCAGAGACTTATATAACATATTGTAAAAAGGGGCATAATATGTCTCCTTTAAGAGTCAAAGTGTGACTGACGTTTATTAATGCAACTGGACGTCATTATCATGAAATTATGAAATCAAACCCAGATCGCCTGGTGAGTTATGTTATAGAGTAAAGTGTGTGTTAGTGTGTCTGACCTCTAGCAGGTCCTGCCTCCAGGATGCCCTCCACATGACGGCCGATGGTCTCCTCCGCCGCCGCCGTCGTCTTCAGCACATCAGTCAGAGCCTGACGCAGACGAGTGTTCACTTTACGCAGCACATCCCTGCGAGAGGAGAAAGACTGCTTACTGACTGCTGAGAAACACCTTTCTGTCTATCAGGGGGTTCCCAAACAGAGCTGCTGAAAAGCTGGAAACTAATTAAATCATAAAAATGTCAAATTAAAATAACTACGTTTAAAATAAAAACAAATTAAAATAAAACTTACTAAAATAATTAAAATTGTAAAATTAAAAAACTTTTTTTTTTTATAAAAACAAAAATAAAACACTTAGTAAAAATAATTATAAAATGTAAAAGAAATTTTTTTTTATAAAAAATGTCAAATTTAAATACATTTTAAAATAAAAAACTAAATAAAACATACTAAAAATGTATTAAATCAGAAAAATGTACAAAGTAAATAAATATTTGTAAAATAAAAACAAATCGGCATACAACTTACTAAAAATAAATTAAATAAAAAATTTCAAATTAAAATAAAAAAAATAATTTTAAAATAGAAACAATAAAAATAAAACACTTATTAAAAGTTTATTAAATCATAAATATGTAAAATTACAAAATTTTTTTTTCAAAATAAAAACAAAAATAAAACACTTAGTAAAAGTATATGTAAAATTAAAATCAATCAATAATTTAAAAAATTTAAATAACAGTTGCAAAGTATTATTAAATTATAAAATTAAAATAATCTTAAAATAAAAACAAATCAAAATAAAATTTACTAAAAATTAATTAAATAAAATTTTTTTGAATTAAAATAAAATTTCAAACAAAACAAAATAATGCATACTAAAAAATTAATTAAATCAGAAAAATGTAAAATTAAAGTAAATAAATATTTGTAAAATAAAACAAATATTTCAAAACAACAAATCGACATACAACTTACTAAAAATAAATTAAATAAAAAATTTCAAAACAAAAAATCAAAATAAAACGATGTATTAAATCATAAAAATGTCAAATTAAAATACAAAAAATTATTTTAAAATAGAAACAATAAAAATAAAACACTTATTAAAAGTTAATTCAATCATAAATATGTAAAATTAAAATAAGCACATAAAATCTATCTATCAGTCTAATGACTTTATAGAACTTTTGTTTGTGCCGAATCAAATCCTGAATTATTCTTGAGCTCTAATTACTCCTCACCTCTCAGTGGTGATGACATCAGACGAGAGCTCTGGGTCCTGTGCGTGTGGCTGCGAGGTCACGGCTCTTCCCTGACCTCTGACCTTCGTCTCCTCCTCCTCCTCCTCCTCTCTCGTCTGGAGTTTATGAACAGGCAGGAAAGAAACGGCAGACAAGAAGCCCGTCATTTCATCGCAGTCTGTTGTTTTTGTCAAACCAAGCGCAGCGGCTCCAGAACACACACACAGTCAAATTCAGCACAACATGAGAAGGGCTTCTACTGCACTGCCATAGCAACAGCTGCAACTGACATCAGCCGTTTCTAAGGAGACGAGCGCCACCTTATGGCACAGAGGAGGAAGTGCAGGTGGGGCAGACATATGTTTACATATTTATGTAATTATTAATTTATTAACATTTCTACATTTACTATTTATGTTTACATATTACACTAAAATGTATTTATTTATATTTATATATTATTATTTTTTCACAACAGATCTCTTTCGTGACTGAGAAACCATGGATTAGCTCTTTTTAAATGAAGGGAGGAGTCTGTTGCCAGGGAAACGGTGCTGTTTACACTACCTGCTGGGTCTGAGTGCCGCAGCTTTGCATGCTGGGAAGCCGGTGTTCATCTCTCCGTCTCTCAGTCTCGTCTTCTCTCTCCTTCACCTGCTGCAGCTCCAGATCCCTCTGTTTCAAACACACACAGATGGAAAATCACACGCGGCTTTGAACGGCAGAGCGAAATCACACACACAGAGACAGACACGGAGCTGCGCGGAAAGTTACAAAAAATGTTGTGCACACCGCCGCGTGAAACGACGTCGCGCGCACTCAAAGCGAACTTCCGCCAACACGTCATATTTGCCACACGCACCTAAGCGAACTTGCGGACGCGTCAAGTATAATCAGCCTTAAATCAGCCTTGAGCGTGTGTGCGTTTAGATACAGTGAAGACAGCGTGTTAGTTTAGAACTCTTCTCATGCCTATAGTTAGAAATGGCCCTATAGTATGCAGTGTTTAATAAACAGCTGTTTTACTAAATTCTGCTGAGGTGAAATTCAGTGCAGTCCTGTATCGTGATACGTATCGTGATTTTGCTGGTGATACACAGCCCTAGTGTGTGTGTGTGTGTGTGTGTGAGAGTGTGTGTGTGTGTGTGTGTGTGTGTGAGTGAGTGAGTGTGTGTGTGTGTGTGTGTGAGTGAGTGAGTGTGTGTGTGTGTGTGTGTGAGTGAGTGAGTGTGTGTGTGTGTGTGTGTGAGTGAGTGAGTGTGTGTGTGTGTGTGTGTGAGTGAGTGAGTGTGTGTGTGTGTGTGTGTGAGTGAGTGAGTGTGTGTGTGTGTGTGTGTGAGTGAGTGAGTGTGTGTGTGTGTGTGTGTGAGTGAGTGAGTGTGTGTGTGTGTGTGTGTGAGTGAGTGAGTGTGTGTGTGTGTGTGTGTGAGTGAGTGAGTGTGTGTGTGTGTGTGTGTGAGTGAGTGAGTGTGTGTGTGTGTGTGTGTGAGTGAGTGAGTGTGTGTGTGTGTGTGTGTGAGTGAGTGAGTGTGTGTGTGTGTGTGTGTGAGTGAGTGAGTGTGTGTGTGTGTGTGTGTGAGTGAGTGAGTGTGTGTGTGTGTGTGTGTGAGTGAGTGAGTGTGTGTGTGTGTGTGTGTGAGTGAGTGAGTGTGTGTGTGTGTGTGTGTGAGTGAGTGAGTGTGTGTGTGTGTGTGTGTGAGTGAGTGAGTGTGTGTGTGTGTGTGTGTGAGAGTGTGTGTGTGTGTGTGTGTGTGTGTGAGTGTGTGTGTGAGTGTGGTAAATGTGAGCTGAAGGGCTTCAATGCTACAAAATGACACTCGTCCTATAGATCATCCACACGCGCACACACACACACACACACACACACACACACACACACGGTTCGTCTTCTAGGTCGAGCTGCAGAATGAATCTAAGACTCATGTGAGCTCATATATTCATAAAAGAAAGTGAAATTTCACTGATGACCAAATTCTAAACCCTATAAAGAATTAAAATGAACAAAATCCATAATAAAAGCCGAACTTGTGAAGCACAGCGTTGAGGAATCTGAACTGGTGTTAGTGTGTGACACACATGATCTCACCTTCATCACGCTCTCAGAGTTCAGTCGGTCCTCCTCATCCTCGCTGTTGTCTGTCTGCGTGCCGATGCTCGTCTCTCGGGTCTGTTTTCTGATCCGGGCCTCTTCGGTCTGCTGGGCGAACTCAACCGACATCTGCACGATCACCTGACACAGCCAACACCAAAAAAACATCGACTTAAGACAAACATACACCATTTCAGATTCATAAAGGCAGATAGATTCAAAACGTCAAATTCATGAAGCCACTGATTCAAAACACAGTTTAAAATGTTGAAGCTATTAATCTCATCGCTTCCCTCTTTACTATTAGTTACAGCACCAAATAAACATGAATGAACATCAGAAGGTGTTGAAAGAAACAGAACAACTTACTCAAATCAATCATGAATCATGTAATCGATCAATCAGAGGAAAGATGTCAATAAACACAGATTGTGATCAATAATATCACTCAGGAAATACATTCAGTCGATAGTCAGCTTGAAAAAATATCTCTAGAGAGGACCATTTTTATAAATATATGCACTTTATTCCATGGTCTGTCTGAATACTGCATTCCGTCCAAACCGTTTAATGCACAGGTAAGTTCCAAGTCAGTTTAATCACCGTTCTATATTAATGCGCTGCTTTAATTGACACAAAAGAATCCGTCATAAAAAAACTATTTTTATTACAGCCACCACAAATGTTTATATTTCAACAACAAATTGGAGTATAAACATAATTATATAATCAAATAGTTGATATAGAGACTGATTTATGCGCAATTTATTACGATTTTGGTTTCAGTTTCCAGCTAAATATAAAATAATATAAAAATAATAATAATTTCGGTGTATCACCAGGCAAGAATAAGCAATTCCTCATAAAACTACCATAAAAAACACAAGTTTTCTCACTAAAATAAAAAAATACATAAATAAATAAACAATTTAAATTTTAAAATGAAATTTTTTCATTTTGGTTTCGGTGTTTTGGTAAAAATAATTTTATTTTTTTATTCTAAAAAATTAATGTAAAGGTGCATCACTAGCTAAAAATAAGCTACATTTTCAACAACATTCCTCATTAAACTACCATGCAAACGTCACACAAGTTTTCTCACTATATATAAAAAAA